CGAATCGGACTCCTTGTTGGTTGCACAGTGCTGCAGTGTTGAGGTGCGCGGCCTTCACAGCCGCATACTGCGAGGCGGCAGCCAGTGGAGTGGCAGCAGCCTGTCCAACAACATCCTGTCGCTGAGGGGCCGTGATGGCCAGGTCAATTGCAGCAGGAATGCCGCTGAAGCTAGGCAGAAAAATGTCCGCAGGCCGCCGAAGCTGGGCGCCGACATCTTCAGGTCTCTGTGGCAGGAGCAGGTGCGGGCGCTCCTTCTCTGGTTGGAGGCCGGCGCGGTCGGCCCATCGGTACACCGCGTCTCGGACAGCCGTGTGTCTCAACGTCTTTTCTCCGCCAGCGACACAGGTGCCAGCATGAAGGGAATGTGTGTCAAGGATGCCTTGGCACTGTGGGCACCATGCGTCTGCAGCCGCATCCGGCACTCCCAAGCGCTGGCGAAGTTCTGTGACAAACACAGCGTTGTCCATTGGAGTGGCCCCCCCCAGGCCGGGCAGCGAGGAAGGCACGGGCGCCAGGTTCGGCTTCTGATCGGAGCAGCGCCTGCCGAGTGGGCGGGGAGCTGCTCAGGTGGCGATCCCAAGAGGCGTCATCCATTAGCCGTGTCAACGCCTTCTGTTTCATACTCAGCGCAGCACCGGGAGCCAAGGGGTTTGCGAGCATGGTGTTGAGGGTTGCAGGTGCTCGGGTAACACTGGGCTGCAGCGCGACAGCTCCTGCAGTGTAGGCGGAATCCACTTCCTCACAAGCCATAGCGCACCCACCAATGGAAGAAAGAAAGGCCGCGGGAGCATCGAGAGTGGCCGATCGCAGTCCTAGGCCAGCAAACTTGAGTGCTCGCCGCACTGGCGCGTGGTGGTCGGGGGGAGTGCAGCGCATGCTGTGCATGATGCGGCCATGGCTGGCACAGCTGCGGAAAGCGCAAGCCGACTTGAGCATCACCAATGGACGATAAGGCCTCCAGTAAAGGGGCTATGGCTTGGACCCGTCGGTCAGTGTGTTCACGTACAAACTCTTGATCGCCGATGGCTGCTCCAAGGAGCTCGAAGTTGCGCTGGAGTCGGGAAGTGCCATCAGGGCGCTGGAGCAGCTCGGGAGGCAAGTGACTTACAAGGGGTTAAGTGTATGGCGGCGCCTCTTGGCTCTTGACCCTTCTTTGGCAACACTCGTGGTTAATGATACCAGTTATATAATAACTTAATGTGCACAGTTTCTGTCAGCGAAGCAGGTGTCAGACACCTAACAGCAGGCGTGAAAGTTAAGTTATATGAATTTCCCTTGAAGCCTAAGAAACGAATCAATCATGCGTGGCATCTTCAAGGCTTCGAAAAGAGCCTAGGCCCTTCTGCGTCCCAGCCTGGCAGCGCTGCTTGCCAACGTCCTCTTGTTTCGGTTGGCTGCGTGCGACATTGGAGGGCCACATGCAGCCGTCTTGAAACCCTTCCTGCTCCAAGACTTTACCCTGCTTCAGTTGCCTTTTTGAAGAGTGAAAGCTTAATTACCGTATATGATTTGGTTGCGGTTTGACAGGATTGGTAAATGCCAATAGTTAGGTTGATGACATCAAGCTGGACATCTGAGAGGCTGCTTCGCAAGCATGCAGCTGGCAACGAGCACAAAGCAACCGAACCATCCAACAAAATGGCGATGGCCTCCTGCCATTTGCAAAGAAATTATGTGACCGGATTCATTTTCAGCATCTTGAGTTGCTGAGCCTGTTCCTATCTGATGTGGTGAGACTGCGAGCATTGCTGGCGGATTACCAGCTGGGTTTGCTCGACTGGTTTCGTTTCTGAAGGTCCACGGAATTTGGGACCATCAACAAACTGGTATCCCCTCAACACTTCGAACTAAAAAGATGACTGGCGTCATTGTTGCAAACTGCACACAGAATTGTATTGCATACAAAGCCGAAATGTCCAAAGGGCACCCCTTCCACAAAACACTTGCAACATCCATGTGACAAGGGTGCGATTTGCCACCAAATTTGAGACAAAGCAAGGATAAACTGGTCAATGTTCAGCGCGAAACAATACAGTTGGGACGACGAATGGACCATCCGTCATCCGTCGCAGAGATAGTATCGAGGGAAAATGTGCACTGGAGGCTACATGTATTGGCGGAAAGGGTGTCAGTCCACAGAATTTTTCCGTGTACAGGTCTTGCCGAAATGTCATGAACATCATTGAACATCTAATCTACATATATATTGAAGGTTTACCATCCATGATTGCGATGGGCAACTTGAGCAAGCCACTGAGGCATAGTGAGCGATTAATTGCAAAAGCATGTTGCTCACAGTTGGGAAACTCTTGCTGGTGACTTGTTGGCACACCATTGGACTGCCCGGCGCAGTTTATAAGTGATGAGGTACCATGAGAACACTTTCATTCCCCAACTGTGGAAGTGCACATTCTGCTTGAAACGCCTTGGCATGCCTTGGCATGCCTTGGCATGCCTTGGCTGTGCATGCAATCCATCACTTTGGGGCAACAGCACCCAGGCTTCTTACGCGCACCTTGCAGAGCTGGTGGAAGCTGTCCGACGAAAAATGTGCAGAAATGCAACCTCCTTTTTTTAGCCGACGACATGCCCTTTACTTAATTAAGTAGGCACCTATTGAGTTAAATAAGGGCAGGATCCGCTGCTACCCGCTGGATGCAAGATACCTCACCCTTTTTCAAGGAAACTCCCCCAGTGGCGATGGCGGCGATGATGGTGGTGATGGGTGGGAATGGAAGTGGCGGTGATGGTGGTGGTGGTGGTGGTCATGGTGATGGGGATGGTGACGGTGATGGTGATGGTGATGGCGGTCGTGGTAATGAAGGCCACGAAGAGGTCACAAAGCATTGCGCCTGCCACGAAGACCTACAAAGCAAAGTACTGCACCTGCCACGAAATCTTCACTTCAAGGTCTGCACAAAGCACTGCGCCTGCCACGAAGTCTGCATTTAGGGTCCACTGGGCACTGCCTGCCATGAAATCTGCACTTCAAGGTTCACGCGCCGACTACGAAATCTGCACTTCAAGGTCCACACAGCACTGCGCCTGCCTTCGCTCGAGGCTTCCTCCGATTTCTGAAACGAGCCACATGTCCAAAAGCCGCGGCCCACTGCACGAAATCAGAGCATGCCAAAGACCGCCACCATCACCATGTCCAAAGCACCGCGCCTGCCACGAAATCTGCACATCGACATAAAGCCGCTCTAATATCCTGCACCTGTCACGAAAAGTCAACCTTGAACCACCAAAACACGAGGTTTCCCTTGCGCTTGCCATGAAAAGTGATCACCAAGTCCCAAAATGCGCACGGCGCCACAACGAGAGCACAGTCTCGAAGTGCACCCGCGCCAGCCCACCAGATTCTGCGAGCCTGCGCAGTCGAAATGCACTTCGAAGATCTCGAGGTGAATGGATGTACTGTAAATATCAGCGAATTAGCCGGACACACCGATGAGCACCTCCGATCAGACAGCCGTCCTTTTCTGCTACCGTAAAAACCCTAATTAGTGTGGACACAGTGTTTGGGGAATGAATACAAAAATGCAACCTGATTCTCCGCTCGCCTTGATGTACGCTTCCTGTTTCGCTGCTGTGTCCGAGGCATCCTTTAAAGGAAGCTCGCCCTCAAAGCCTGCAAAAAACGTGCGCGACTGCGAATCTGCCACTTCGGCAATGGTTGAATGTTGCCGAGGCAGCCACTCTGGATTGTGTATGTGCTTGTCACGAGGCTACCGAAGAGGCCGTTTTATAGCCACTTCTCATGTTCGTTTGATGAGGTAGGAGCCACATGCGGTCACAAAGTCTTTCCATAAGTTTTTGGGGACCTTGGTACTGGTACTCATCAGCTTTCATGGTTCTTATGTCAGGTGGATTTAATTTGATATATTATATAGGAAGTACCTCTTGTGCCTGCACAACTTGTAGCCCTTGAAACCATCGATCTCGCGAATATGGACTGGGTGGTGGAGTTGTTCTGAAGATTGCGCAACCAATGCCGCAGGACAACTGGAACAATGAATGGTCTACACCATTGGTGCTCCAATACGTACACCAAACCCATACTCAGAGTCTTGATCTCAAGACACCTATATAAATATTATATATAATGTTGCAGTCTTTGCGGAACCGACCGATGATTATGAAAATATGTGAAATAATACAACCAAATGGCTGCCAAAAACATGGAAAATGCATTGATTCTCCTTGAAAAACATTGGGGGGCCTCGGGACATGTTCACTTTTACATAGTTGGGAAACTGCTCTGGGTGTGTGGGCAAAAGTGTGCAAAAACAAAGGAAAAGAATCAACATATGGACCTGTGACAAAAGCACTTCGTAGGCCAGTAGTGAGTATGTGTTCGTTTCTTGGTTATTATCCATTTGCTCCTGACTGTAGTTCAGTCACGGCAAAAGCACGCGCATGAACGTGCGCTTTCCCTGCATACTTGATCTCACGCATATCTGCAAGTTTGGCTTCCCACTACAGTATACTTTTCTGGTTATGCATCGGTTTGCCATCTCTCTTGCCTCATTGCCATTTCATCCACTTACCGGTTCGTGTCCGCATGCTTCCAATTCAACAAGGAGAAGGCATCAATATATGACTCATGACGAAGGTTGCCATGTTTGTTCATTCTCATATGTAGTGATGTCAATGTTCGCTGGCGCTGCTCCTTCCCTGGAGTCTTGTACGCACATTCCCGAACATCAAGCAACAACATGACCACCCTGTCAGATTGAGAATCCTAACGGCCTAACGGTCCTAACGTCCAATGATGCGCACGCATCATCATCGGCGATCAAAGTCCGAGGCTTTGTGGATCTCAAGTTGTCAACACTTGCCTGAATTACAACTGAATGTTTTTCGTCACCAAAAATGGCACTGACCCACGTCCCTCAAGCGACAGAAGGGGTAAACATCTGGCCTGAAGGGCATATCTTGTTGAAATCAAGCTCGGCGTATCCCAAGAAATCATCAGGTTTCCCAGTGTCCTCCGTGCTGGCAAGCTTAAGCAAGCTTCTTGAAATACATACTTGATGCTCTGAACCGGCCACAAAATATGTTGCCTGATTTTGCTGGCACTTTTTCTCGCCGTCACCGTTGTTGGTGGAGTCAGCTTACTCACTTCATGCTCCGGCTGCCAGTCCCGATCACTGCGCAGACTTATCAAAAGCCTGAATTGTACTGCATTAAAGCGCACAAAAGCCTGCGCTGCTGTAGCTATAGCTTGCAGGCACATTGGCCCGGTAGTGGCCAAGCCGCAAATGCCTTAGATGGTGATGGCCAATGACTCCGATATGCAAAGCACTTTCCACCCGATATTTTACTCTATCCCACTGCCTGGCTCGAAGAAAAGCCATGTATATATATATATATAGACTTCCAGATTTTTTTGTCATTCAAGTGTTGCAGTTGAGTGCGTGATCGTCGGTATCTAAGTATGCGTAGTACGCGTCAGGGGTGCGAAAGCTACAGTAGTTGGACATAAAGCTGAATTTCCACAGGGGTCGGCTCAATTTGGTGGCTTGGAGGCGCTTTCTCATGAGTGCCTGCAAATAGAAGTGAAACCTACAGTAGCTTCACATCAGCATGTGCAAGCAATCCGGGAGCCAGAGCACGAAAGCTACTTGGAAAAACTCGCGTTTCCATAAATGTTCGTTCAAGTTGGTGGTTTGGAGGTGTCTCGCGAGTAGCAGTAGGTGCTGGCTTCAGTTTATGTATGCTGAAACACCAAACTCATCCAATTCCCTTGCATTGGTGGGCGGTGGGGCACATAAGGGCTCCAGTTTTTTGGATGCAGGGATGCCAAAAGCTGGTTCCGACACAATGATGTTTGCAGGAGAGGTGTGGGAATGTAAACCAACGTGGGAGGGACGGTAACCCGGTAAGCGCCCCGCCAGGACAAGAACTGAACGTGTGGGGTTCTTACTCCGGATATAGGAAGAGGCGCCCGTGCGCTGGCGCCGCTGCAGGGTGCCACTGCCCAATGTGTGTGCTTTGGAGTTTGCGCGCGGTGCCCCTGCAGGGTGCACCTCCGGGGCGCTGCTGCCAAATGTTGGTTGTTTGCACTGTTGGGGGCTGGTGCTGCTGCAAGGTGTCGGTGCCAAATGTTAATGACAGTGTGCGCTTTGGAGCCTGGGCAGCGTAGTTTTTGAGAAATGATTTGTTTCAACGTCGTACTTCTGGTGTCTTCCGAAACAAGTCGCTTCATCGCAGCGAAGGCACAATTTCAACAAGAAATCTGCAGAAAACCCGTTGCGGGTTTGTGGCACGTTTAACTTTTTCAATACTGAGGTTTGCGAACTAACTATAACAAACTGGCCAGAGTGCACTTCAGTGGAATTTGACAAATTTCTATAGCACATAGAAATAAAACATATATACTGCATTGCACAAAACCAGGCCCTGCGCAAACCTGCGCCTTTATGAGTTGCGAGGGCTCGATTTGGTGAACACAATATGCTGCAGCAGCTGGTTCAGCAGCTTAATGATCGATTCAGCTTCCTCAATCGGCGATCTGCTTCCCTCCACCAATGCAAAGGCGCCTCGCACAGTCCTTAGGCTGGTTTACGTGTCTTCATGTATAAGTTGGACCTCTGCTTCCAAGCATGGCTCTACAGTCTGCCAGAAGCTTCACTATGATCTCACGATCAAACGCGGCACCTGAAAGGAAGGCGGCCCAAACGTCTCCACAAAAGATTGTCCACTTCAGGTGAAGTTCGTCCTATGTGGCTCGTTTCCACGCAAGGACCATCGAGCTGAAATCACTCGGCTTCCATGATATTTGTCCAGCTCTGTCAAAGTATTGCATCCATTCCTTGGGCTTTGCCCTTGTCATCTCTTCTCTATCTCTCTCTCTCTCTCTCTGCTAGTGTCATGTGTCTCTCGCTGACCTCTGCCAATCTCGGTCTATCAAATGCTCCGTCTATCAATCCGGTCCCCACCCGTGTGGCAATGTCCCTGACTGCATTTCAACACTGAATGCATCATCAATGTAAAGGTCATCGCAGTCAGGAACTGGAATACCACCTGCTTTTCGCGCACGCTTCAAGGCTGACTCTCTTTGAATTGGCTCATAACGTTCCGGTTTCGTTTCCTGATCTTCACTTGCCACGGGTGGACACTCTGGCATTTCTGTCGGTGGTGAACGGTGATGCTGGTCTTCTCATAGGGCCCTCGTTTCTCACACGCTGATACAATAACACTGCACTCGCCCTCTGGGACTTCATCATCAGACTCTTGCTCTGACGGGCTTCTCTTGGTTCATGTTCCTGCTCTTCATCGTTCATCTAGTCCTCCAGCTCGTACTCTTCTGCTTGAGTTACATCACGGAATGCGTAAGTGCTCACTTTTTGGTCCAACTGAGCTATCGCTGCTGGCCAATTTCATTTGCTTTTTCTGGTAGTCAACTGTAAGACCCAACTGCTCCAACATTGATCCTCCATCCAGAACTCGGGCTGTTCCTCTGATCTCATACATCAACACAACAACGCGCTTCTGGCCTAAGAAAATCAACAAAACCACACACTTGTTCACCTTGCACGATAGCCCCCGAAGTCTGTCCAATGCACCACGCAAACAATGAAAAGCGTTCCACGATCAAGCACTGTTTCAACACATGACGCGGCCGTCAGCTCGGCCGTGTGCCCCCCACTCTTGGACAGAAACCACCGACGTTCTATCAATGAATCATTCATAACACTCCTGAGGCCCGCGCGAGAACTCAAAGGCAAATCGCGGGCGCGAGGATCATGGAGTTTGGTAGGGACACAGGGCACCTACGAATGTTTTCATTATCTATATAATTCCATGAAGCGGTGCCAGGGCTCCAAACCAGCATGTGCAAGAAGAAACCAAAAACGCACTGGAGAAGAAGGGTTGAAAGCCACACAAGTCACAGATTCTTCTAATTGTAGTCGCTCGACGTGTTAGCATGCCTGAGACGAAGGGTCATGATTCGATTCCCTTAAGGACAGTCAATCGTTTGAAGCGGGAGCTGAATTGGCAAGCGCACTTGTGTAAGTTCCTATTGACCTGCCACTCCGGGAGGTCCAGGCCCAGGTCACTTTTGGGCCCGAAGGATCAGAACTGAACACAACTTTGCAGCATACTCCAATGAGTATCACCGTTCGAAAGCTTCCCCAATCTTTGGATATCGAGATTGAATTTGCGAGAACGTAGCCACAGTCTCTGCCCCGCCGTAGCAAGCACGGACAAACTCGGATTCCAGATGACCCAGCTGCCCTGCTTGGCATCTCCTGCAATCGTTGAAACCTACTGTAAGCACACGCTGGTCCTGCCACGAACCCCGAATGCTAGGAACTCAACAACAGACATCCTAGGCTCATCAACAGGAGGGGGCTGATCATCCGGGACTGTGGTTCGCGCTGCTAGAGTTGCAATAATGCAATTGGAATGATAGTGCTTCAGAGATTTCATGGCTCAACTCAAGCAGCTTCTGGCAAAACGAACAGCAGTTTTCTTCGCTGCCTCATCAGCTTGGGAGTTCCCAAAAGTACAGTAAGAAAAGGGTCCTGGGAGAGATCATTTTGAGTATTTGGAGGTGAGCTCGGACCTTGAAAATGGAAACGTCGACAAAAAGGGGAACGAGCCCGAAACGGGAGCTAAAAAGCCAAGCAGAAAGGTCAAAGCCAAAAAAGGTGTGTTGAAAGTCAGCGGTGAACATCGTTTCTGCCAAAGTTGACACTCTAAAGTCAGTGACTGCTTCAAAAACACTGCATGTGTCTTGTGCCGCATTTGCCCAGATGCGATGATCCTCTCCCATTGACACGCTGAGTGTCTAAAACAAATGGCGTTGAGCGCCGCACGCCCACGACCTTTTAAGCAAACAATATGTTTTTTTAATTGAATTGTGGTGGAAGCACGCAAATGAAATCGTCCGTGTTTCCATTTGTGCGCCTGGAAAATGTGCGACAAACAGTCCTGGACACTGAGACATATTCTGGCTTCCTTCTGACTGTTGTTTCAGGGGGTTACTTGTTGCTGTCTACAACTTGAGTGGTTCCACGACAGCCTTTCTGGAGGAGTCGTGGGACTTGAATGTTTGAGTTTGAGTGATCTTGCCAATTTGCAGACCAACTGTTTGCAAGCTCCTTACCTGTGGAGCCCCAGCACAAATATTGCAGGCGAAGCCGCACATGGCCGCGTTGCATCTCAGCACTTCTCCCTGGAGCGAAAGGGCAGCCGCATCTACCTTCAAGTGGCAGGATGACCATCTGCTGCTCAGCCAAAAGTCCATCATGGTTGCTGCTGGTACTGCACAAATCACATTATATACATCATGTATATGCGCCAGGCATAGGCACAGGATGATATATGCATATAACATCGTCGGTAAAAAGGTCTTGGTGGTTTTGGAGACTCATGTGCAAACCGCATACATTGTCATTGCATAGTCTTACTGTTTCGTCAATGGCTGACAGCTCTTCACCTCTCAAGCCCGGCCTTTTACCTTTCAGGCCTCCTAGCCCACCCGCACCCATCTTCTTCTTGTTCAGCAGGCCTTGATTCTACTAGCACAGTGATTAGGAGCTTGGACACATGTTCGTGCCAGTGGTAACTGCAGGTGCTCTCAGCCCGTGACTGGCAAAATCACTTTTGCCATACTTCCCTCTGCTCCCCGCACCGAAGGCTGATCCTGTCGCAGTAGGCACCACCGGGTTCAACAACAGAAGCAGAGAGAAAAACGGTTCGCAAACGTTTGCTGGGCACTCCTCCTTTTTTCTGCTTCAGGAATTGGTAACCTACCGGGAACATTGCCAAACTGGCCCTTCATGGCAGGAAATGAAATATCGACATAAAATAGCCATGCCCACGGTGAAAAGGGGTGCCCCGACAAGGGAGGCTGCGCACGCATATACAAATCTCGGCAGCACAAGTATCCCATCATCGGACAAAAAGGCACGCGGCCAGCCCACCCAACCTAACAAGAGGACAACTGCACAAGCCATTACCGGAAGCTTGAAGTTGGAGAACGGATCGCTGGAAGGCGGTGGTGTGTACACCTGCACACGCCAAGCAGAATAAGTTGTATATATATATATATGAAGAATGTGCCAGTCAATTCTGGTCCAGATACTCTTGTGGTATGACCCCTGATTCACTGATTCCTCAAAATTACGTGCCTGCATAAGCACTTCCAAAATCTCCACTTCTCGCCCATCTGCTGATAGCAAAGCAATCAAATCACCATGTTGCTTTCTCTGCACCTCAGCTTGCCAAGGCTGCAACAAAGCACCGGGAAATACACATATACTGTACTTGAAACCTGTCTGGTTCCATGAGTAAGCCAATGGCAGTCCAATCTCGCACTGCCAAACGTTGTCGTCTCCATATCACATGGCCACCAGCACCTTCAAACCCGTGCCGAAACGCTATAAAACATTAATTAGCATGCTATCGGATGCTTATGTTAAGTCTGGTAAATTATATGCGTGTTGTTCAGGTTTGGTTTGGCAATGTATGCGATTCATGGGTGCACCCTTCATTGCATGTGCAACGTGACTGAACGATGCCTCACCACGCACAAACAAACACAAGATATATAACACAAGTATCAAAAGGCACATGGCGCACCTGTGCCTTTAGGCATCAGTGTACTGTTGTTGAGACTTGCGAAACACCCTTGCGGCTCCTTTGCTGCAACGCGGCCCTGACCGAACTAAACATCTTGATTGGCACAAGTGTCAGATCGACGCCATGACCTTCCACCTTCTCTTGAGCGGTCGGGCCAAAAAGGTTGACACTTTGCGGGTCTATCAAATTGTGAGGAACAGATTCCAGCATTTTGGAGCAGACATGGCCATCACGTCAACAGCCTTGCCACAGAACCCCAAGCTATGATATCAATGGCCTTCCTACAGCAGCTGCCAATCTTAGCTTGGTGGAAGCAGTGCTGGAGCCTAGCCAGCCACCAAATACCTAAAGCTGCTATCATGACTTATGATGACATGAAAGCAAGAGGAGCTGTCTCACAAACAAGTGGCCACCACCCCCCTTGTGATCCAAATGTGAGAAAAAAAACACCTTCAAAGCATTTCAGAGCCGAGAATAACCTTGTTTTGGGCACAGTTACGCTCTTGACTGGCTTCCTTGAACTTGCTTCATCTGCTGCAGATGTCTGATGATTTCAGATCAGCCAAATTCATCTTTGAGCTTGTGCCGTTGCAAACGCCGCTTCGATAAATGGACAGCCCTACTTTGCCTCGTGCAAAGCCTCATGTTCAAATGAGGGGCGGTTGAATTGCGGGTTCCCGACAAGAATCTCTAAGTAATTACGGCAGCCTTCTGGATCCATTGTGCTCCTGAACAAGGAGGTACCACTACCTTGAAGTGAAAAAGTTTCAATGTCCTGATCAACTCCAAAACCTATATCAAGGCCTAGCGGCTTATCCAATCAATGCCAACAATGACGAAATGAAACTAGGCGGTCACATTGCACGGTAGGCAGGCCAAATGGACAAGTCTTGCAAACAAGGGCTTGATTGATTTGCAAAGAACCATGCCTGTCTCACCAGGGCGTCTGCGTCCAACAGGTTGGCTCATGTTTAGTGCCTTTGGTGCCAGTACAAGCAATAGTCTCACGACGACGGGCACACCGAGGGCTGTACCAAAATAGAGGATGAAGAGACTCCAGGATCTTTGGATGGAGATGGATTCTTTTGCAAGCCAATCACCTGAGCCGAGATTTTCCCCCACCAAAGGAGAAGTCCACAATTGTAGGATCTGATTAGCCATGTTGACCACAACAACCTTCATGAATCATGTCTCAATATCTGCTAAGTCATTGCGTGAACTAAACTGTCCCAAGAGCAAACCCCCGGATAGCTGCCAGCTGAAGCGCACCCTGGCAGAGACTGTTGTGGTCTTAGTGGAAGCACAAGCACAGAATGACAGGAATGGCAAAGAGACATTCAAAGTACAGTACCCCAGCCTCGGCCTCCCCAGCAGGAAACCTTTTCTCCAGCTCGCAATCCTTTCGGTTCTTGACCTCTGCAATGATCAGAAAACGCCACAATACGGACAACAAGTGCTTAACACTGAGGACAGCACGTTGAAAACCCAAACCTCACAAGAGTCACAAGAGCAAGTAAACATCTGTCTGTTGTTCCCTATGCCGCTATGCCAAAACAGGGGTGGAAATGCAGACATGCAACGGCACCACCCTCGTCGGAAAGCAAGACTTTCGACAGCTGCTGAGTATCGACAGCAATGTCAGCAACACGGCCCTGGCAAAGAAGAATGCAAAAACCAAGAATGCATTCTCAACACCCGACCCAGCGCCTCGAAATTGGGGCAGTCGATGTGCTTCACTTCAGCCTTGTCCAGACTCACATAGCCCCATTCCATTCCTGCTCTGAAAAGCACCTGGCTGTGGTAAGAATGCAAGCCTTCCACCCCAGGGCCCTCCATAGCTGTCGCATCCACGTGTGCTTTGAGAGTACCATTCTTTGCAAAGACGCTGATGCGACCCTTAGAATCTCCAGCAACAATCTCCCCGCTGCTTTTGTGGTTTGCAATGGCCAAGGCTGTCAGTGTCGGAGCATCATCCCCAACTGGAAGTTGAAGTTGCCGATGCGCTTGGACCGTAATATTCCATTGAGGGCCAAGGTACTGGGAGACTTTCTCATCAGTGGAATTGGACCTGGCCAGCTTTTCCTCCTTGGAGGCGCGGCGCTGCCGCACAGACACTCTGTGAACGCGGATCGCTCCACCAGAATCTCCAGTGGCGATCAAGTGCTCTTCGTGGGTGGGCGAGGTCACCATATGAGTGACAATTTGATCATGGCCAGTGTTGAAGCTAAACACCAGTTCCCCACTTGGGCTAAACAAATGCACTTTCCCATCCGCTTGGGCAGCTGCCAAAAGGCAGGTTGGCATCTGCGATTGTGGAGTTGAACTGGACGAAGATGACGTAGTAGGAGGGCGGGGGTTGCGAAGGAGGAGCCACTCCACCTGAACCGCTGGCTCCACCAAAGGCAGTGCCGCTTTGGTTAGCAGAAAATCTTCTGCTGCTGCGATGGGTTCCTTTTCACCTTGGCTTGCAACCTCGGAAAGTAGCGGGAGGCGTTCAGTTAGTGCATGAACTTGAGCCACCGATAGAAGACCTTTGCTGCTTGCAGCTCCTGGCGCGTCTTGGGCAAACTGCAACACATGGAACATTTTGAACACACGCAAGTGCATGTGCGCACCTTGCAACTCCTTCAGGAAACCCATCCGTTCCTCACCTAGCTTCAAGAGTGACTTCAACTCGTTCATCTCCTGCAGTTTCAGTTTCAATGTCAACTGTAGTCTTGTGTTCGTTTCCTATCTCTGCCAACCTTTTATTGGAAAATATCAAGTCAGTAAGACCGCGACGTTACATTGCATGGCGTGTCAATAATATCCGGGAAATTTACTTTATGACAATAGCCATTTCTAGTGACTAGTGGTCAAACGGGTCCCTCCAATAGGACCTTCAGTTCTTCCGCAACAACTGGTAGGACCGAGGAGTATATATATATAAATAACTACAATATAACAAAAACATGCGGAAACCATGGAGTCTTTACAAGGCCCCTGTTTAAGGTTTCTCGGCCATTTTTGGAAAATGTTCCTATGTTTAGGGGATAGTACAGCTTCGTTGTTATAGCTGCTACACTGCCTTGAGGGCTGGATTTGGGGGCTGGGTCTAGTTTACTATTTCAGGGACAAGTTGAATGCGAAAACAACATCCAGCTACCCATGGAACAAGCTAACCAAGAAAAAACAAGACAAGGAACTACACACTAGAGGGAAGGGGGCTGCGCAAGAAATTGAACAGAAACCCCTACGGCTATGTCTGCTAGCTTAGGCAACGGCCAAACAATCTTCTTGCATCTAGTCCGGCAGTCCAACTTCGTGTTCATTGATGCGTTGGTGAATGCATTTTTCCCAAACAGTTTACTGTTGGGGTTCTATCTTAGAAAAAGAGACTGGCCACACTGACTGGCCGCGACCCTGAACTCTGTGGCCGCGCTGTGGCCGGGTCTTCCTCCTCTTGTCCTTCTCTTGGCCGCACCCATGAACCTTCTGCTTCTAGTGGCCACGTTTGCGAACCCTGTGGGTCCTCCAGGTATTCCCTGCTGTCCTCGTGCCACGGTTGCAAACCCCGTGTCCTCCTTTTGTCCTTTGTCCAGGTCTGCCTGTCCTGCTTGTCCACGTTGTGGGCCCTTTTATCACCGCCTTATCCGGGCCTTGCCCCCTGCTTGGCCACGCCGTTTTTCCTATCTCCACCGCCTTGCCTGGGTATGTTCTCATTTGGCTATGGATGCAACAGTGATACCGCGATCGAAATGTGATATCACGATCGGATCTTCTCATGACATATATCCGGTATCCCATCGTTTTTGCACATGTGACACAGGCATCGGGAACTGGTGTTTTCAAACATTTATTGTTTAGGTGCAGTTCCCAAACAGCTGGAGGCTTTAGAGGACACAACAAAGAGGGGAAGCAGAAGGCCACTCAAAAGGATTTAAGGACGCCAAATAAAGGATTGATTTGAATGCCCGCCGAGGAGTTCGAGGAGACGAGATGGGCTACACCAGCCGCGTGCACAGAGGAGAAGGGACCCAGACGAAGCAAAAAAAAGAAGTGTCGTCCATCCGAGATATCACCGCCAAGAAGGAGTAGCTGGCAGTTTTGACATCTAAGAGCAGGTGCGTGAGGCATATCGCAGGCGCGGTCGAATTTTGCCGAAGCGCTGTAAAGGTTTCAAGGCCAGTGGACCCACAGGGAGGTGCAGGTGGTGGCCCGGGGCTTTGTGTGGGAGTTGACTTTCACGCAGAGGTTCCTGGTGGGGCCCTCCTGTTCCATACTGCTGCAGGGTGCAAGACAGCTTTGCAACTCCGGGCTTCATCAGGCTCGCGCACACCTGAGATCACTTTTTCTTAGCTTGGATCGAAAACCATTGTGAGAGGCTTGAGTTTCCAGCGTTGTTCAGGTATGCATTCAAGAGAAAAGGACTCGTCAATGGCCTTGAATGTGGCATTTACATGTGCTGGCTGAAACATTGGCGCAAGACCCATCCTAGAAGCCCGTTGGTACATGTTTTGGCCAGCTGGGATACGGTGGTGGGCGCGGCAAAGGGCCGCAGTTCATCTAAAGCTGTATGTGTTCTGTGGCGCTCAGTTGTTCACGGCAGGTCAGCTAGGAACATGGCTGATGTGCCCTCTCGAGGAAACACAAGCCTTACGATCAGAGTTCAATCTGAACTAGGCTACTTGGCGCGAGAGCCATGTTCAAAGCATTTTTCGACAGGTTGGGAATGTCATGTTCAAGAAGTTGCAGCGAAGCTGCTTTCAGATTGTCGCCCCAGACCTTGAGTCTTGTACTCGGGCGACTGGTTTCCAAAACATTGTTGAGTTTTCAACGCAGAGTTTTAGGAGTGGATAGCCTTTTCAATTTCAATCCAGCGAAAAGGTTTGCTTGACCTTTTTTGGAGGCTTCTGCAGTGCAGTGCGTGACAGTTCGAGCTTCTAACCTTCGTAAGCTGCAGCTTGAGCCCTGCAGCATGCAGGGAGGGGCATCTGTGCAATCGGCGCAAGAAGCAGCTCGAGGATGTTGCCCACCTGGCCTCCCCTCCCAGAGTCCTGGCCCTTGCAATCCAGCACAGTTCATGAGGCCTTCTTGACTGTTTGGGACATTTCTGCAGTTCTTGACCAGTGGAGCTCTCGAACCTTAGCCTTAGCCTTAGCAAGCTCCAGCTTAGGGCCCACGACGTACGGGAACGGTGTCTGTGCAGCGCTACCGCACATATGTATTTCACAACTTCTAACTGATAACTTCAAAAGATAGATAGATAGATAGATTGATTGATTGATTGATAGATGGATAGAATGAATGAATGAATGAATGAATGAAAATGAAAATGAAAATGAAATGAAAATGAAAGGGAATGGAAAGGAATGGAAAGAATAAATGAATTGAAGAATGGAATGAATGGAATGAATGGAATGAATGAAATGAATGAAATGAATGAAATGAATGAGATGAATGAGATGAATGAGACGAATGAGACGAATGAGATGAATGAGATGAATGA